TTTCCTTCCTTCTTTCCTTCCTTCCTTTCTTCCCTTCCTTCCTTCCTTCCATCCATCCATCCTTCCTTCGTTTTAAAAAAATGTTTTATTTATTTATTTTTTAGAGAAGGAGAAAGTGCAGGATCAGGGGGGAGCTGCAGGCAGAGGGAGAATCAGTCTCCCACACGAGACACGATCCGAGGACCCTGAGATCATGACCTGAGTCGAAGGCAGATGCTTCACCAACAGAGCCAACCAGATGTCCAAGAATGACTTATTTCTTAGGAGGCTGCTCATGGTAGTATGTTACTACACATTGCTGCTAGTCTAAAAAACAAAATGTGCACCTATTACAGCTTTACAGAAAACATATTAAATCTGAATTTTCCTAAAATATATTACCATCTTGACAATTTAGAAATTGCCCACAAAGTCTTTAAAAATACAGTATATACAAAATAATGCTTTGTTTTGAACATATTCTCTGTGCATATTCATTTTTTAACTATTTCAGCCCAAATTTCCAACATTTTAACATTTATTGTATTATCTGGCCTAAATTGGATCTCCTTTTTCAAGTGAATGCAATTTTCTTGCAACAAAAAGAAAACACCTAAATATTTTAAAATAGAGATGGGGGAAAATAAAATATCAGAAGAGTGACTTCGTGAAGAAAAACTGGAATTACTTTATTTTAAAAAGGAAAATCTGTGAATTATGACCTACAATCAGGCTTAGTACCTAGTAATGTATGTCAAAACAGAAAAGAAGCATAACATGGGGAAAACCACATATTAACCATTAGATTATCATATCTGCCATTTATTCAGTACCTCGTATATGGCAGGAACTGTATTAGGTGATTTGCACAAATGTCGCTTAACGCAGAGTGTGGATATTTTATCTCAACTGCACACAGGAGGACAAAGGTTAAGCAGCGCCCCCAGAGTCAAACACAGCTGGTGAGTAGCTGCTTTTGGAATTTGAACACAGAGCTGACGGGCTCCCGAGCCCATGTCCGTCCACAGAAGTCCACTCCTTATGCACTCCGCTACCAAATTCCACTCTGACAACAATTCTAAATGCATTCTAACGCAGAATGACTTGGGGGCAGTAAGTAGTCATAATGCCTGTCACCATAAAAATATATATATTTAGTTGTTAATAAAAACAGCTTTCGCATGTGCGTGGGTGGTGCACTGCAAAGCTAATTCAATAACCTGTTTTGACTCTCATAGGGTTCGAATTCCTATCCGTGGCTCTGTCCTAGCCCTGCGATGTTACTTTGTAGTGATGTTACAATAGGAAATTATTAAATGCCAAGTTGACTCAATGCCAAACTCACGTTGCCACTAGGCTGTCATTGTATCTCTGTTATTAAGGGGTTTTGTGCCATTAATGCCTGTCTATGCAGGTATCTAGACGTGCTGTCCCTGTGGACTGAGAAAGCCTGCTCCCAGGAGAGACAGAATGCCATCTGATCGAGAACTGACATATCTCACCCCTGATTTTAGGAGAGACGGTATAGAAGCTTCTAATGAGAGAACGTTACTCATAGAAGCTGCTAATACTGTGACTTACTGTGTCTGCTTATTTTCTTGGCAGGAATGTGGATGGAGGTAGAAAACATTACGTGGATGTGGATGGAGGTAGAAAACATTACGTACTCGTCCTAATAGCTCCATGTGGCTATTAAACCATCCTCTGTGCATACACAGCTGCTACGATATTGGTTTCACATAGAACATCTGCCCAGTTAGAAGGGTTTCGCGTGATACCAGCTTAAATGAGAAAAAGAGGAAGGAGGGAGATCGTGTTACTGATAAAAACAGCTTTCTGTGATTCTTACTTTTTTGTCAAATCACGGTATGTGATCATTTCTAGCAGAAGAAATAGGAGATTTGGAAAGTCTCCCTGACACTGACCACAAGATAATCTCATAACTAGAATTATAAGATAATGTACAATATCCTTAATTAAGAACATCTACCAAACACACGCACCTGTATCTACATGAGGGGCCAAGTCTAGCACACGCACGGTCTCTAAAAATC